AAAAGGAAAACACTTGGAAAATGAGAGGTTTCTTTGATCGTGAATGAATAATTTCGATGTTGACATCTTTACAAATTTAGAAATGATCTCTGTATTCATAATTATTTGTTTTGGTTTAGAGCTGTTATCAGAGCTCGAGTTGAATGTTGCTGATTACATAAAATATTTTAAATGCTGTTATTTATATGCACTTAGTGTTATTATACGTTTCATGAAACTTGACAGGTGTATCAAAATAATATAGTTGGTAAATCTGGTTGTCATTTATGCATCATGTCAATTATCTGTCAAAATTATGTCAATTTATGACATCAAAGAATAAACGTCATTTTATGAAACTTGACAGGTGTATCAAAATAATATAGTTGGTAAATCTGGTTGTCATTTATGCATCATGTCAATTATCTGTCAAAATTATGTCAATTTATGACATCAAAGAATAAACGTCATTTGATTTATTACAGTTTGAAAGCTAATAGTTTCATTTGATAAAGTAGTTGCTACATCTGATTGACATTTATGTCAGTTATCACTATTAGCACTAATTGAAATTACCGTTAGATTTTCAACTACATTCACTTGTAGCATCCACAAAGTAGAGTACAGTACCAATTGTTATGCAGAGATGTTAAAGTTCAATTGAATAATTGGTTATGAAAATCTGTGTAAAGTGAATTAAGTTGAATGAGAGTTTAGAACGTTGGCAATTTGTTTACAGTATCCGTAATTCGGAGACGCCGTAAAGTTCCAATTTTCGTATACACACACACATATTATATATGTTTTTATGTCTCCCCATTTAATTGGTTAATATCAATGTCCCAAATCGTGGAGCACAGTTATGCGGCTCGGCTGTTGGCAATACCGGATTCGTAATTGGCTTCAATTTCTCTTCATCCATCCAGACCTCTCCTCTCTTGATCACCGCGCGTAATTCGATTCATTTGTCTGTCGTCCGTTTCGACATCCTAATCCACATTCCACAAATTACTCGCACGTTTTTTTTTGTGGGCGTACATCTCGTTTCTTTTTCAAATCGCTTCGATTTGGCGGACGTGGGCGAAGATCATAGCTAAAGCTAAAACACTTGTTTTTTTTTAATGCTATTATTGATCGCTCGAGGCTACACGCTTTGCATCGGATGGGAATGGGTGATGTCACGAGATAACCTCGTTTTCGTCGATGGGTATGACACCAGGTGTGAGCCATTATCGAAAACCATAACATCCTCAAGACTGTTGTGTGTGTCATCATTCCATGACAATAAGTCATGCTTGGAGAGGTGAGGCGCTGGGAAAAAAACATATTGGACGAGGATGACTCTCGTCAATTAATTATAATCTTTATTGCTTTCAAACATCTAACCTAAATAACACAAAGAAGATAGAAAAATAGTTTCCGTTTATCTTCATTACACATTTTGTCACCAGATTTAATCTACTACTTATATTTATATGTCATACCTAATAGTTTGTAGTAGAACATTAACAAAATGGCGCATCTGTCATAGTTATGTCAAAGTGACAAGTAATTTTGACATACCAAATATTAAACGTCACATTATTTGACATAATGTAATGTTCAAGTGTTTTCAATGTTATGAACATAGATAAATGATAAAACTAAAGATAAATTATTTATTCCAAAGTTTATATGTAATTATATTAATTGTTTTTTTTAATTTCATATTTATAATTTATACAAACTGTCACAATTTAATCAAATGTCATTATGATACGTCAAACGTCATTTTGTTTAAAATACCATTTTGACATCTATTTGACAGAAACAAATATATTACATATTTTCACATATTTGAAATCTAATAGTTTCATAGTAATAATTTAACATTAATCAATGATATTTGACTTGACAGAAGTCCATTTTTCCATTTGACTTGACATAGCAATAAGAAATAACCTTAAATACGTGTATAAAATAGTTCGCATAGTTTGACATTTATGACAGCTGTCACAAATAATGTTGCTTCCACACTGTACTCTACTATTAACACTAATTCAAATTACCGTTAGAAACAGTTACAATTTAATCAATACATGTATTTGACAGAAATACCAATATTTTTAAATATTTTGATAAAAAGATTAAAAAAAAATTGCAAATAACTTTTCTGTTTTCCATTTAAATATAGAACGTTGCGTAAGTGCAAATTGCGTAAACAAACGCGATTAATTGCAGATAATTGCCAATTTCTTCCTATACTTTTTATTCATTCAACTAACGAGAAACTCTTGTAAAATTGGTCGATTTCGCAATTACGTCAATTAATTGCGGCGCTCGGAGAAAAATTACGCCGATAACAAATTGGAAACGCGATGTGTGGAAGAGAGAAAGAGAGAAAAGTTGAAGTAGTTAACTTGTTTTTTTTTCTTCAATTTATTACTGAAAATGCAATTAAATCTATTAAGCGCGAAACTAATTGATCAATTAAAAGAGTGGCTCTGTTTAATATCCGCTTTGAAGGACACTTCTTTCTTACTCCCCCAATTTTTCATCCAAGAAGGAAAAAAAAATAAGAGATTTGAATCGATTTCGCGAAGTCAGTTGCAAAGTGTTAACGCATGAAGAACGACGACGAGAAATTGTATGTTTTGTTTGTGCGAGGCTTCTGTATGTTGGTTGGGTTTTTGGTGAAGAATTTAGAAAACAAAACCACACGTGGTTTCCATCTGGTGCGCGTTGTTAAACCAAAAAAAGAAAGAATTAAGTATAGATGAGTGAAACAAATTGAGGCATGCGGAGCGCGGCAGACCTATTGTAAGATTTGTGGATTTAAAATACACTTAAGAATTATTACTTCTTTTTTACAAAAAAAAAACACCTACAAATAAATACATAATTAAGTAAACTTGAGAAGATTTTTAAAGAAAACTAATTATCACATATTTAAAAAAAAGATATAATTTTTCTTTTTATACACAAAATTATTCTTCAAATATTAACTATAGTTATTTACTAATCTTTATAATAATTTAAAGCCTACTAAAATTTATAAATTGTATTGTAAACTTTTCCTATTTACTATTTAATTTATTATGCAAACAAGTCGACTTATGTAATCAGTATTTCCATGTTCCCTCTTTTTAACAGCTTCAATTAATAGAACTAATAAAACTGTGTACTAATAAAACTCTTTAATTGAGTAATACGTGAATTTCTCCGACTTCGGCGCTCTTAATTAACTTAAGTAATTGCTCGTTATTGGTAGCAATTTATATGATTCAATCATTTTTTCCACGAATCGAGTCAATTTCTAATTGGAATTCTCTCTCTGCGTGACAAATTTTTCTACACTCAATCTAAAAACCGAAAGATTTATTCATGCATACTTTGAATGCTTAGATCGAAATTGTGATTCGCTTTAATCTTTTCCAATTATACGCGATAAATAATCGTTTCACAGCTATCACAAGTGCCACAATCCGATAAATGTTTATGCAACTAACGTATCTTTCCGATGCGGCGCTTTATCTAATCGAAGAAGTGAAGAGGAGGTTTCTTTGATGTTTAATTTATGGTCTTTTTCCCTCCGCAAGGATCGGCGCCTCTCAGAGGTGGTCTCCTTTTTCGGCGTTTCCACTATGAATGGAACAGCTTGTTTCCATAAACTATACCTTTCTTATCCTCAACTCACTGTTTTTTTTTGCTTCTTCAAATTTTTTAGTATTTATTTGCTTTGCAAATGCAGCGAAATACTATACATTTCTTCACCTAAACTCAATGCTTTTATTATATACAAATTTGGTGTTTATTCACTTTACTAATACAAAGGAAATAGACTAGACTAAACTCTTCAATAAAGCTGCTTTTTTATATTTATTTTCTTAAAATATGCAACAAATTGAAGTTCATATTTTACAATTAAGACAACTTAATTATAAAAATTTTGTTTGTTTATTTACATTTGGAAATGCGGGTGAAATTTTCTATCCTCAGAGTTCCGCATTCAATTTGGACCGTTAAATTCTTCGGCGCGGTTTTCCTTTGTTTCCCACAGCGAGAAACCGCGAAACAATGCCGTCCATCCTCGATTCCATCATTAACATTCCTTCGTTCGGGAAAACGGCGCGCTATTCACATTTCAAATTGCGATTCTTCCGACACTCTCTTACCGATCAAATCTTCAATCGTTTCAATTACCGTGTGCATTCTTTTACTCTTTGTTACGTTTTCTTCTTCTTCTTCAGTGTACTTTTTTTGACCTCTTTAGGTGTTTGTTGAACACCTCCCAAGAGGTTTTCGAATAACGCAAAAAAAAAATTTGGATCAATCCTATACAATTTCTTGAAGAATTTCACATGAAACTTTCAAAGTTTACTTGCTTTAATTATATACTTAGAATAATGATATTTTAGAACTTTAATAGATATATTTTAGAAAAAATGAAAATTTTTCGAAAAATTTGACAATAATTGAAAATGTTCAAATTTGATAACTAATTACATATTTATAACGAAAGTAGGCTCGTTGGAAAGACTATACTTTTGTCTTTTATTTGATTATTTTATAATCTAATTAGTATAAATAGTTATCGAGTAATTAAACAAAACGCGAAGACATGAAAAAAATGAAAACGCGAAGACATGAAAAATTAATTAATATTACGTAACAATTGTTATATCATGATGTTGCAAAGACTGATTCTGATATAATTACAAAATACAAAGAAAACTTGATGGTTTTTGAGTTAATATATTGTCAAACATTTCTTTTAGTGCGTAGACTTTTTAGAAAAGAAACGTTGTCAATTTTCCCCTTTTCTTTTGTAAGTTTTCCTGTAGACCGCAGAAAATAAATTGGAGCTGGCTGTAATACGAGAATTCCTTGGAAATCTGATTTGTGTATGCGTAATTCGCAAATTTAGCGATTTCGTTCATTCCATTTTTGAAGCATCCGCACAATTTTTGCAATTCTAAATCATACAATTAGTTATTTATTAATATTGATTTTTTCTAATTGTTTTTTCTTTGTCTTTTCAGATCTACCCAGATCCGGATTCAGAGAAGGCCATCATGAGTTCGGTGGTGTATTGTATCCATCACAAGGAAGGATGCAAATGGTCAGATGAGCTTAGGAAGTTGAAGGTAGGTTTCTAAAAAATAGACAAGAAAGATGTTGAATTAGGTTGAAGAATTATAATTGAACATAGAGAAGTAATGGTTGTTGGTAGAGGTTGAGGAATTACCAAATTCCAAGTAATAAAGTTATTGATGTTATTGATGGTTGAGGAATTACTAACATTGAAAGAAGAGAAAAGAAGTAATATTATTATATGGAGTTGCGTGCACGCAACGCACTTCAAAGCTAATATTTTCACTGTGCAACGGCCGGAACAAAAACCTCATCGGAGCGTAGAAGAACGCCTTACGAACAACATTAGTCTCCTTTTTATTACTCTCTTTGTTTCCTTCGGCCTTTTCCTGTCAGTTCCGAGCCGTGAGCGGAGGCATCTAGTAGTTGTTGATATGGTTGTAGACGATCATAGCTTGTGTCTTCCACATAGCATGAAGGTTTTCAGTTCTTCACTTACGTTTAGCGAGCGAAATTCTAAAGTTCTGTTCAAAATTTTCAGGCACATCTGAACACGTGCAAACACGATGCAATTCCATGCACCAGCAAATGCGGAGCCCAAATTCCGCGCGTCTTAATGGAGGATCACCTGAAGTACACATGTCCTCAGCGCAGAGCACGTTGCGAGTTTTGCAACAAAGAATTCACCGGACACAGCCTTGAGGTATGATCTAATTTCTTTAATTTAAAAATAACTGGATGTTAATTTACTGATTTTTTTTGTAGAATCACATCGGTAGTTGCAGTTACGAACCAATGTACTGCGAGAACAAGTGCGGAATGAAGGTACAAAGAAGGCATTTGGGACAACACAAGAGCACAGAATGCTCGAAACGTCTTCTGCCGTGTCGCTACTGCTCCAAGGAGTTCGTCGCCGACACGCTGCAATCGCATCTGGTGAAGTGCGGAAGAGTTCCGATCACCTGTCCGAATCGGTGCGATTCCAGCGTTCTCGCACGCGAAGAACTCGAGATTCATCTTAAGGAAGAATGCACCATCTCGGTGATGCAGTGCAACTTCAAAGACGCGGGATGCAGATTCAAGGTAAATTTATAGACCAAATCTAATTAATTATTAAATTTGATTGTAAATTTGAGAATTTGAGTTAATGTATTGTTTGCTTGGTTTCTTCAGGGACCCAGGTATTCGATGGAGAAGCATCTGGAGGAGAACTGCCAAGAGCATCTTTCGATGATGTGCAACGTCGTCACGAAGCAGCAGCACCAGATCACGTCGCTGAAGAGCGCCCTCTCCCGCCTTTCCCTCAACTACTCGGGGACGTTAATCTGGAAGATTAGCGACTTCTCCGCGAAGATGACCGAGGCCAAGAACAAGGAGGGCATGGAATTAGTCTCGCCACCATTCTACACTAGTCAATATGGTTATAAACTACAGGTAAATATTTATACATAATATTACTTGTAGTAACTTCAGTTAGAATAGTTGTGAAGATGTTAACAAAAAAGTTTAATAACTATAAAGTAACATTTAGTCTTTACAAAATTTCAAATGTCAAACTTGATTCAAGAGTTAAAAGTAGATGGCGCTTTCAATAATGAGTTTTGACATATGTCAAATTTTGATTGAAAACCTTTGATTCACGAGTTAAAAGTAGATGGCGCTTTCAATAATGACTTTTGACATATGTCAAATTTTGATTGAAAACCTGATTTAATACCAATTGGGGATGAAAATGTAATTAAACTAATTGAAATCACATGAATCATCTCATTACTAAATCTGTTCTTGTCTTAGGCGTCTCTCTTTCCAAATGGTAACGGAGCCGGTGAAGATTCGCACATTAGCGTCTACATAAAGATCCTGCCCGGCGAATACGACGCTCTGCTTCGTTGGCCATTCGCGCATTCCGTCTCCTTCACCATCTTCGATCAGTCCACCTGCCCGGAGAAGGCGTGCAACATCGTCGAAAGCTTCATCCCGGATCCTACATGGAAGAACTTCCAGAGGCCGAGCAAGGAGCCGGATTCTCTGGGTTTCGGGTTTCCGCGTTTCGTCTCGCACGAGATGCTCAGGAAGCGGCACTTCATGAAGGACGACACACTCTTCATCCGCGTCAAAGTGGATCCCAGCAAAATCGTCGCCGTCTAAGTCTTTAAGAGGAAGGAAGGAAACAAAATCTTCAACACTTAACGACGACGATCAAAAAAGAAGAAGCAAACGAGAAAAGCGAACCACAAAAACACATTCATGATCTCTCTCACACAAACAATCTTTTCATCTTGTTTTCGTCCTTTTAAACCGATGATTTACATGTACATATAGTTTATAATTTATTTTCTCTTTAATTTTTTGTTTAAACGAAGACTGCAAAAAAAGGAAAACGTGAAGGAAAAAGAAAAACGAAAGAAAAAAACAATATTTATATACACGTTATATGCACATATATATATAGAAATTAACCCGCACTAAATATTATTAAAAATTAAAAACTTTGCTGTAAATACATGTAAATATTTATATTATTACTTTATATTTATATACATATCCAATGTATTATTTTTTATTTGTTTTTATTTTTTTTTTATAATTAATTAATTTTTATTTTCGAGGCCTTGGGAGTTAGGACGCTCAGGTTGTATAGAAAACTTGCGTACTTAAAAAAAAAGTTTTTCTTAAGATCCTCCAACCCGTTTCTTTATTATTTTTTATTTTTTTTAGTTTCCCTGTGCGTTATTATTTTCTTTTGTTCGTTTTGTATGTTTATAATTATTAATTTTGTTTTCAATTATTATTATTTTTTTTTTTGAAATGTGTATCAATTGAAAAATTGTGTATTTTTTTTTGTTTGTGATAGCTGGAAAGAACCAAAGGTTTTTGTTTCATACGAAATGTTCTTAGTTTGTAAACGCCTGTACATAAAGTGCCTTAACTTGTAAGAATAACCCGAGTCATTCTAGAACGTAACTTTTTATACAATTTATTAAAAAAAATATTATATTATGTTTTTTTTTTTCTGTACTGTTCGCAACAGTAGTTTTAGAAGGAACTAAATATAACTTCTTTTTTTTTATTACAAAATTTTTGTGTTTTTTTTTTCTTATTTATCTCCTCTACTTGTTGCCTAGGTAACACAATCATTGATAAATTTAATTTTTAAGTCAGAAATCATCATTTTTTTTAACATAAGTAGAAAAGTTATATAAACGCTTTAAGAAATGTGCATTTGAAAATGATGAATAATTTCGTAAAGTGAGGTCTTCCTGTAACCGAATTTGTTTAATTGGATTAATCTTCTCCACTTGTTGCCTAGGTAACACAATCATTGATAAATTTAATTTTTAAGTCAGAAATTATCATTTTTTTAACATAAGTAGAAAAGTTATATAAACGCTTTAAGAAATGTGCATTTGAAAGTGATGAATAATTTCGTAAATTGTAACCGAATTTGTTTAATTGTATCAGAAATTGCACTAAAAACAGCATAAATAATGGAAAGTTTAGTTAAAGACCACAGAGGGCGCTGTTTTCAAGAAAGTACAAAGTACTTTTGTCCAGCGTTTCTCAACCTATGCGAGACAGCTGTCACCAATGTTGTCACATTTTAGTGACTTTCTCGGAAACTATAGTAGATTGAATGGACCCAAAAAATGCATACAAAAAAAGATGTTTTTGGATTATAGCGAGTATTCATACATTGTTGTGCATCCATTTGGCTGTAATTCGATAAATTTAATTTTTAAGTCAGAAATAATCATTTTTTTAACATAAGTAGAAAAGTTATATAAGCTCTTTTAGAAATGTGCATTTGGAAATGATGAATAATTTCGTAAAGTGAGGTCCTTCAGTAACCGAATTTGTTTAATTGCATCAGAAATTGTACTAAAAAAAGCATAAATAATGGAAAGTTTAGTTAAAGACCACAGAGGGCGTTGTTTTCAAGAAAGTACAAAGTACTTTTACCCAGCGTTTCTGAACCTATGTGAGAGAGCTGTCACCAATGTTGTCACATTTTAGTGAATTTCTCGGAAACTATAATAGATTGAATGGAACCAAAAAATGCATACGAAATCTGGATGTTTTTGGATTGTAGCGAGTATTCATACATTGCTGTGCATCCATTTGGCTGTAATTCGATAAATTTAATTTTTAAGTCAGAAATCATCATTTTTTTAACATAAGTAGAAAAGTTACATAAACGCTTTAAGAAATGTGCATTTGAAAGTGATGAATAATTTCGTAAATTGTAACCGAATTTGTTTAATTGTATCAGAAATTGCACTAAAAACAGCATAAATAATGGAAAGTTTAGTTAAAAACCACAGAGGGCGTTGTTTTCAATAAAGTGCAAAGTACGTTTACCCAGCGTTTCTCAACCTATGTGGGACAGCTGTCACCAATGTTGTCACATTTTAGTGAATTTATCGGAAACTATAATCGATTTAATGGACCCAAAAAATGCAAACGAAAGCTGGATGTTTTTGGATTGTAGCGATGCACATTGTTGTGCATCCATTTGGCTGTAATTCGATAAATTTAATTTTTAAGTCAAAAATCATCATTTTTTTATCATAAGTAGAAAAGTTATATAAAAGCTTTAATAAATGTACATTTGAAAATGATGAATATTTTAGTAAAGTGAGGTCCTTCTGTAACCGAATTTGTTTAATTGCATCAGTAATTGTACTAAATATAGCATAAATAATGGAAAGCGAGTATTCATACATTGTTGTGCATTGATTTGGCTGTAATTCGATAAATTTAATTTTCAAGTCAGAAATCATATTTTTTTTGTCATAAGTAGAAAAGTTATATAAGCATATTAAGAAATGTGCATTTGAAAGTGATGAATAATTTCGTAAAAGAAGGTCCTTCAGTAACCGAATTTGTTTAATTGCATCAGAAATTGTACTAATTATAGCATAAATAATGGAAAGTTTAGTTAAAGACCACAAAGGGCGTTGTTTTCAATAAAGTGCAAAATACTTTTACCCAGCGTTTCTCAACCTATGTGAGAGATCTGTCACCAATGTTGTCACATTTTAGTGAATTTCCCGGAAACTATAATGGATTGAATTCACCCAAAAAATACATAAGAAAGCTGGATGTTTTTAGATTGTAGCTTGTATGTTGTTCATCTATTTGGCTGTAATTCGTGTCGAAAGATACAAAAAAAATAAACATTTTAGTTAATTTCTCGGAAACTATAATAGATTTAATGTATTCAAAAGATGCATATGAAAATTGGATGTTGCTGTGATTTTACTTGTAAAACAAATATGTTTAGGCCGCGCGTTAAAAAGCTTGAGAAACTGTAGCTGTATTTCTTTACTATTTAGATTTTGTATGGTTATATAAATAAACGAGAAGTTGAGAATCTAGTTAAATTATTAAGGAAACGTTGAATGAAATCGACTTGAAAGCAAGCCTAAAGTGGCAATAAACAATATTGTGTAATATTCATATACAGTTTATACGAGGTTCCACGCTGTAACTAACAGAAAACACTTAACTATTGGTAGTAAATTAAACTGAGAACTTATGGAAATTGGAAAATGACACAAGCCTTTCCATATATTAATTATTAAATGTTTAAATTTTCTTTTCAGTTTCTGATTAGTTGGGAGAAATTGAAGCAAAGACAATGAATTTGTAATACAACGTTTATTTAATGTGTTTGTTTGTACCCTACAAATATAACTTTCTTAAATATAAGTTAATTAATAAAAAAAATGAAGATTTATTCTATTTAGTAAATGTTTGATGCAAAACATTATTTACTCGTCTTCGTCTTTTTCTTCTGTTTCTTATCCTCCACGGCCTGCTTGTCCAGCTGGGACCTCTTCTTTTTCAAGAGCAAAGCCTCCTTGCTCTTCGTCCTCTTCGTGATCATCATGTCGTTGTAGATCTTCCTGTATTTACCCTTGATCATCTTCTCGCGCAACTTGTAATCGGCGCGATCCTCCTTCAGCTTAGAATACGGCTTCTCCTTGGTAACTTCACCAGCTTTCACCGACAACTTCGATTTCTGCGTAAGAGATATTATTTGAAAAATCTTAAAAAATTATGATGATTAAAGAAATTACCTTCGGTTCTTCAGATTTGTATCCGTCTTCCATGATAACATCATCCGGATATTCGTCTTCCTCCTCTGAATCCTCGTTTAGATCGGCTTCGTCTTCATTATCGGAAATAGCGGCGTCGGATATTTCGGCTTCATCCTCTGAGTTAATTTCGTTGTGCATCTTCTCTAGAAGCTCTGAATCGTAGAGCGCCTTCTCTTCTGGTGGAACGTAACTGTCTTCTCTGAATTTATCGACGAATGGAGACAGATGTGGAGGAAGGACGGCTCCGATGAAGTACTTATTCACAGGTAACAGTTGACGCGCATTGACGCTGTCGAAGATCCATTGCGGCTGGATGTAATACCTAGAAATGTACTGCTTATCCTTCATTGGTCTGTCCACGATTTGATGCGTGATGCTCTCATCGTCCTCGTTGTAAGTTGACCCAACGAAGAGCGTTTTATCCCAAGAAACTTCCCCACCGAAACAACGAATCATGAACACCAAATTCTCACGAGGAACTTCGCGATTCAAGAAGAATTTCAATCCCTTGAAAAGCGACTTCAATCCTTTGACAGCCTCAGCCTCCTTACGGATCTCTTCCATCTTTTCCGGATTATCAATATCCGTGAATTCATCCAAATTCACGTCGTCCTCTTCGGTAGCCGTTGAAGTCTTGGAAAGCGGGAAATTCAAAGCAGCGACGCGCTCCGAGATAAACACTTGCTCATCAACCAATTTCTTATCTTCCTCCGATTGATCCTCGATGCAAGAGAATTTCGGTGGATAGAACAGATTTAAACCGCTGTACAACCTGAAGTTGACGAATCCCAAAAGCACGATGTAGAAATCAACGAATGTGGACATCAATTTAAAATCGACTTCACTTCTTTGTTGTGGCTCAAAACCGTACTGATGCGGTACAATCCATGTAATCGTTTGTCCCTTAATCTCAGCTTGGAAATAGTAACCCTTGATTGAAACGAAGACTTTCCTTAAGGATTTAGATTCAATGATTGCATGTAAAAATTCAGTTGTTAATCTGCGGCACATTGCTGATTGGTCTTTAGGCAAGTGTTTCATGGATGGAAAACTGCTGAACAGGAAGCATAAAGTTAAGCAATCGTCCAAATCTCTCAATGCATCAATGAATGTCGGATATCTCTCTTTGACGATGTGATCGAGTTCTACTTTGGGGAATTTATCTAAAAGTCTGCCGACTGTTTCTTTATCTCTGATGGCCCTGGCTTTGGCAACTTTCTTTGAGATCACTCTCATGGAACGGAGCCTCCAAATGTTTGGTTCGTTCATCAAGAACTGGATGTCTTTAACATGGTACAAGGTCTTGATGGTCATGTCGCCTTTTTGGGCGCGCTTCCTGTTCCTCGGCTCCCTCGGGTAGATGCCTTTCAGAATGCATAGCGTTCTGAATGTGTTCATAGACACTTGCAACTTACGTATGGCCTTTCTACGCGATATGTAAGTTGCTCCCTCACCAGACTCAAACTATACATTTTTTTTAATACAAACATATTAATTCTCAACAATTCACAGAGTATTTAAACGTTAATCTTACCTTCTTCTTGCGTGGCCCTGCCATCACGTATTTATATGTAGTTCAATCACAGCCTTTCAAAAACACCTAACACAATGCTGCTTCGTTTGTAAACACGTGCCTCCACCGAAATAGAGGTTAAGTTAATTGTCAACTTAAAAGCGACCTCTAGTTTACCAAACTCTTCATTAAACTTCTCTAAACTAAACATTATTAATTCAACAATTAAAACACAAATCATTAATTAATAATATTATAAGACTTAATAACATCATAATGAGCAAACAATAAATAACAAAATAGTTAATTTTAAAGAATTAAAAATTAAAAAAGCTGTAAAAGAAGTTGCATATATTACAACTTGTTACTTATAACTATTTCAGTATTTTCAAGTTTCTGTTAACATTTACTTTAATTTATCAAACTTTATATACAATAATTAATTAGTCTAATGTAATTTAACTAATTTAAACTACTTTCCTTTAAATGCTCTAAATATGTAACGAAGGTTACAGTTCACTATTGATTTTAAATTTTAAAACTGTGATGCGGATGAAACCTTGGATGAATGAACGTGTAGCAAGCGGCGTTTACAGGAAGAATAACTAATTTCTGGGAATATCTGTTTATCGATTAATGAATGGGATTGTATGTGTAACTCTTCTGGAAATTGGGGAGTTGAATGAATGTGTTGGATAGAATGCGTACAATTTGTATAAAAGTAGTAGGAATTCTGGGAACATATTGATTGCGTGAGCGTGTAAATGTGAATGGAATACATGTGTTCTGGGAAAGCCGCATCTCGCAAATTCTGATAAAGAGGATACGTTACGATACTAGTATTTTGGTTAATGCAAACCGATGACCACGAAGAAAGTTTCTTAAACTAGTTACACGTTTAATATGTGAATTCGTCCATCTCCATTTCAGTACAATAATTGTTGAATTTTATGAATTAATTTGAAAACTATTTAAAGTAAGAAAAGATGAATTTTCTTATGCACTATTTGATATAACTTCTGTTACGTAATGATAATTAATGACAGAGATATGGCGATTTATGAATTTGTTTTAACGTTTCAGTTTTCATTTAATTGCATGATAACATCTCATCACAGCTAGATTATTGGAAATACAAATTAATAACTAAACTATAGCCTTTCCAATGAGCTTATTATCAAATTTGTGGCAGTCACCATTCTTCTGCTATAAGCTGTCAAATTTAAGCATGAAAAGACGAGTATGAAATGAAGTGTCTTCACCTTTTATTAAATTATTCGATGACCAAACAAGCTAATTAGTTCATTAAACATGCAAATTAAAGATTAAACTATGACCTTTCCATTGAGCTTAACCGAAAATGTATAATATTCGTCGTACATCTGTTATTAATTGTCAAATTTGAAAATGCACTATCTTTACGTTTTATTGAATTACTCGACGACAACGCTTGATAATTGGATCGTCGAAAATCAGTATTAAAGACAAAACTACAACCTCTCCAATGATCATACTCTAAAATTTCTTGTAGTAGGCTTCATTAAAAACTTCTTTTTTGTTTCAAATTATTGTTTAAGATTTGTTAAAAAACGTTAATCTTAGATATAAATATAAGTTTAACAGAATTAACTCACATTTTTATGAATATTTTATCGTATATTGCGCATCATTTAATATAAAGATTTATCAGTTACAATTCATTAATAACTTTTTCCAATTTCTTTGGAATTTTTTTACAAGTCATTAATTATATTATTTAATATAAAAATTAATAACTAAACTATAGCCTTTCCAATGAGCCTACTTTCAAATTTGTGGTATACACCATTCGTTTGTTATAAGCTGTCAAATTAGAGCATGAAAATAAGTGTCTTCACCTTTTATTGAATACGATGACCAAACAAGCTAATTAGTTCATTGAACATTAAACTACCGCTTTTCCATTGAACTTAGCAACAAATTTATGTTTATCGGCGTTCGTCTGTTATTAATTGTCAAATTAGAAAATGCACTGCCTCTACTTTTTATTTAATTACTCGTTGACCAAGCATGCTAATTAATATATTAAACATGCAAATTAAAGATAAATCTACAATATTTCCAATGAGCTTAACCGCAAATCTATAGTAATCGCCGTTCGCCTATTATTAATTATCAAATTTGAAAAAGCACTGTCTTCACGTTTTACTTAATAACTCAACAACCACGCTTCATAATTAGAGCATCAAAAATCAGTATTAAAGACAAAACTAGCATTTTTTCAATGAAATTACTCTAAAATTTTCTTGTAGTAAGTTTCATTAAAAAAAAAATATTTTTTTTCAAATTATTGTTTTCGATTTGCCAAAAATACAATAATCTTAAAGTTTATCAGATTAACTCAAATATTTTATCATACATTGCGTATCTTTTGATATAAAAAGATTGTCAGGTAAATGTTTATTAATAACTTTTTCTTAATTTATTTGGATTTTTTTTCACAATTATTACTGATTACAATATTGACTACATCTGAGGGAGTTTTCTATTGCGCTTCTTTTGATATGGAATAGGTTACGAAATGTTATCTAATAATCTAGATATGGAGATTTTTCAATTGTTTTTGATCCCAGTCACGTTGGTAACAGATGATCCAAATGTGAAATGCAGAGTTGGGAATGAGGAACTACTTGTTGACTGGATTAAGGATAATCGTGTGTGAACATGTGAAGTGCCTCATTTCCTCTTAGTGTCATCTAGAAAGTATTTTTTTGTTTTGGTTTTTGGAAAATAATCACGTTGGCAATTGGGAATGACGTCGCGCGCGTCACGAAGATGTCAAAAAGCGATTTTTCGATTTGCATACTGAAAACAAAACAACAAAAATAGAAAGGGGAAGCAGCACCCGGGGCGCGGGTGTTCAGAGGTTTTCGGAGACCCTAGGAAAAAGGGATGAGAGAGAGAGAGTAGAGTAGAGAGTGTACGTCGCGCACGATCCGGAACCTTCGACGCCGACGCCGAGCGTCGCAATTTGTACCATGGGAGGCGCCATTCGGAATATACGGCGTATGCGTGCTATCGATTTGCACCGCGCACACCGACTACCATACATTCATGCAACCACGTAACATTCGGCAAAAGCCATCGTCCATCCAAGGAGCGAAGAGGTCGCACCGCCATCTCTCCCTCTCAGCATTACAGAATTGCGCGTCTCCCGCGTAACCAACACAAACTGAACGTAAAACAAACAGCAACAAATTCAAAAACAAACAAACAACAACAACAAAAAAAACTATCAACAAAGTTTACATGAGTGCAAGTGCGGCGTGAGTGCGTGATGTGCGTGAAGAAGTTGATGCCTGAGGAGATGCTGCGCCGACCGAGACCTTCGCTCCTTGAAGAGGAGTCCACCTGAAAAGCATCAGGTAATCATTTCCTCCTCCTCGTACACCTGTCACAACCAGAGCACTTGACGTTCCGTTACGTTTTACGCTACTCTTTTTTTTTTTATTATTTCTCTCTCCCTCTCTCTCACACTCTTCATAATCCTCGTGACGTCACGGCGTCGGGACGTCGTGCGCTCCGGTTGGCGCCGGGGAGTCAAGGTCTGCTTGACCTCAGACACGAAATTTACAAGCAAATTGGATCGAGTATACACCTATATATATATATATAAAAATATATGACATTCCCTCCCTTCGCCCTTTTATTTACAACCACCCTGAACAAAAAGGAAACACGTCCATCCCTTCACGACTTGAAACAAAAGAGGGGAATGACAAAAAAGCGAATTGTGACACTGAAGGAAATTGGAGGTCTTCTCGTGACGTTTCGTTTTTTTTTTCTGCTTCTGTGGTGGTTTTTTTTTCCTCTCCTCTGTTGTTGCAGAAGTCTCGGGTCGAGTTTGCGTAATGGCTTATTTTTCAATTGCAGGCAATCTCGCGGCGGCGGCGGTGGAGGCGGCATTTCCAAAGAGATCCTGAGTGAGGATCCAATGCGAAGTTGATTTCCGTGAGGTCATGTTATTGTTGTTGCTTTTGGAGGTGATCGGAGATTCGAAGTGAAAGATGTGCCCGAAAGCGGAAACCCGAAGGACTTTTCCAAAGACGCCTCACCTGGATATACTGTTAGTATTTTCAGCTTCACATCATGCTTTTTTTATATAATTTTTATCACTACTTATTATGATTTTTTTTTTGGATTTCTAAATTTTAAAACTTTCTATATTTCTCATGATTACTAAATTTTTAAAATTTTACTTTTTTTATGATTATTATTGATTTTACAATATTTCTGACTTTTTAATTTATTAGGTCTTAATTTTTTTTCTTATTCTTAGTTTATTAGAACAATATTGAAAATATAAGTTAATTATAGCATAAAGTATATAAATATAAAGTAAATAAATTAGAAGAAAAAAGTTGGAAATATTCGAAAATTGATTAGAAACATCGTCAATTTAAAACTTGCAATAATCCTAAATGCAAACCTACTTATAAAATAGATACAACTTCCAATTCTTTTGGGAACAAAATTTGTATTTAATTTCACTTTCACTTGAACAAACTTTACTTTAAATATTGATAAAATAAGTAACTTTTTTTTTCATTTCTTCAAATTTCAATTTTTACATTATATTTTGATTCTTTGATGTTTGATAGTTTTAGAATTATTAGACCAATATTGAAAATATATGTCAATTATATAATTTTTTAAGTTAAATTTATCAAATTCAAATGATTATATAATAAAATATACAAAAAGTTTTAAATTGTTTGAGTTAATCATAAAAATTATTATTACAAAAAAAATCTTTGAAAAAATCGAAAATTCTATAGAAATATCGTGAATTATATTAATAGAATTGTACGGAAACTGTCGAATCATGACTACAATTGACGAAAACTGTCTGGAAATAAATATTTGATAAAATTTCATATTCTTATGAGAACAATTTTTGTATTTAATTTCACTTGAACAAAATTTTATTTTATTACTATTTTTTGTAACATGTGCATAAATATTAAAAAATTGTTGTAGAATTTTTCCTATTTTACTTTAAATATTGAAAATTTCACTAAAAAGTAACTTTTTTTTGTCATTTCTTCAAATTTAAATTTTTACTTGAAAAATATTGATTCTTCGTTATAGAATTATGAGAACTATATTGAAAATATATGTGAATTACATAATGTTATAAGTAAATTAATCAAATTCAAGTAATTATATAAAAAGTTTTTGAGTTAATCAGAAAGCATAAATTACAAAATACAATATTTGAAAATTTCGAAAATGATTAAAGTAAAATTTCAACAAAAAATTTAAATAGAATGCAATTAACAAAGACTGCTTGGAAATAAATATTTGATAAAATTTCATATTTTTATGAGAACAATTTTTGCATTTAATTTCACTTGAACAAAGTTATATTTTATTACTATTTTTTGTAACATGTGCATAATTATTAAATCTCACTTAATTGCTGTACATTTTTTCCTATTTTACTTAAAATATTGATAATTTTACTAATAAGTAACTTTTTTTTTGTCATTTCTTCAAATTTCAATTTTTACTTTATGAAATATTTTGATTCAAGTAATTATATCATAAAGTTTATAAAAAGTTTTATATTTTTTTGAAAAATGTTTTAAAAATTCGAAAATTAAGTAGAAACATCGTGAATTGAACAGAACAAACAAGTAACAAAAACTGCTTGGAAATAAATTTTTGATAAAATTTCACACATTCAACAAAATTCACGTGTCTTTTTTTAATGTATTTGTTGTGAAGCAAATATGATATTTATTACGAAGAAATTGTACACTATCAGACATGCCACATAATAGTTTCATGTCAATTATTAAATATGTGTAATATATTTCCATACATCGATTAGCGTTTTGCTGTTTTTCCTATATACTTTTTTTTCTTCTTTATGTAATTAAATCGACGTTATTATAATCTAATATTTGAATAAAATATGAGACAAATAACAGTGAATTGTTGTAATAACAAAAATAGAAATATTTATATGAATATATTCGTTATTTTCATATCAATTTTCACAAATTATGTTAGATTTTCATAAATTTCATTATTTTTTTTTACAAATTATTTAAAGGAATTATAAAAAAATAACATTGAGTTATAAGTATCATTTAAATTTAAATGAAAGAATGGAATTACAAGGATTATCCTTAATGAATCTTGTAACGTAATAACACTTCGATCTATTTGAGTGTTATTGAGTCATCATACTTTAAGTGAATAAATCACATTAGTTTCAAGTGTACGATCATTTACTATTGACGTATGTGGAACATCCAGTCTATAAGTATGTAAAGTAAGCAAACAAAAATCGTGTATTTTATTTTTTTGAAGAAGAGTTGAAAAAAAGCTACTCGTTTATTGCTACATCAAGCTTTCACGTTTCTATTTACACTTTTATCCGTTCCTATTTACGACAAGAGCTTCGTTGCGAGAGGTATTAAAGCTAATTACTATTGTCAAGTCGGTGGAGGAGGAGAGCGTTCGTAAATCGTGAAGCTCCAGTCTGCAAGTTTGTCACTTACGGCAAAGTCTTTTTAATGCATAATTTACTAATATTTCCATCGCGACTCGCAGCTTTATTTACTTTCATCATTCTATTCCAAACGTTATGCTAATACGCACAACTTCTTTACGACAATAAATTTGTTGAAGTATTATCATACTTATATAAATAGTAAATAGAAAGTAATGTAGAATTTCATAAAAAACATTCAAAAATTGTATTTTTTTTTCAAAATTTTAATTTTATGAGTCGCCAAATTTATTGATTTTATTATTTCCTTTATTTTGTATAAAATATTGATATTCATTTATTTTATTTAAACTACGTCGTTTATTAATAAGTAAATTTCATTTTACGATGGTTCGTTTTACGACTTTTGTATTTTTTTTCTAGTTTAATTCGCCTAAAATTGATAGAATTCTAATATTCTAATATTTATCTATAATAATCAACATTAAAAATCAAAAATTGTATTTTTTTTCTCAAAATTTTAATTTTGTTTGTCGTCCCACGTTGGGCGCCATATTTATTGATATTCCAATCTCGTTTATTTTGTATAAAATTATGAAATTCATTTATTTGATTTAAACTACGTCGTTTATTAATAGTAAATTTCATTTTACGACGGTTCATTTACAACTTTTATATTTTTTTGTAGTTTAATTTGCCTAAAATTGGTAGAATTCTAATATTCATTTAATATTATCTATAATAATCAACATAAAAAAAGCAAAAATTGTATTTTTTTTTCAAAATTTTAATTTTGTGTCTCGCCCTACGTTGGGCGCCAAATTAATCAATATTCTTATCTCAATTATTTTGTATAAAATATTGATATTTATTTATTTGATTTAAACTACGTCATTTTATAATAAGTGAATTTTATTTTACGACGGTTCGTTTTACGACTTTTATATTTTTTCCTACAATTGATAGAATTCTAATATTCATTTAATATTATCTATAATAATCAACATAAAAAAATCAAAAATTGTATTTTTTTTCAAAATTTTAATTTTGTGTGTCGCCCTACGTTGGGCGCCAAATTTATTGATATTCTAATCTCGTGTATTTTGTATAATATATTGAAATTTAAAAATTTCATTTTACGACGGTTCGTTTTACGACTTTTTTCAGTTTAGTTCGCTTAAAATTCATTTAATATTATCCATATTTATCTATCTAAAATAAACTTTTTCCTTAATCTAAAACTAAATATGTTTTGTGGATCAATATTGCAGATTTGTTGATTGCATGATTCATTTTTTTTTTGTTTGTTACATATTATATTGTATGTTTTCTCGTTTGTCTCGTCTCTAATTGATTTTCATTCTACGTCTGTTTGATCGAATGCCAAGAAAACGTTTATACCCACTAAATTGTAGCTTGTTTAGTCTATTTCAGGACATAATGGTTTTATTGTCGTTCATATTCTATACTTTCGTCAAGAGTTATTTATTGGCTTTTACTCAATACTAAAGTATCGTATAATTTATGTAATTGCCTCATTTTGGTCTACTTATATAATATGGGTAAAATATCATAAAATCAATTGCAAAAAAAAACTTGATTTTTTTTTTGTACTGTAGAGAAATAGAAACAAAATATTCATTAACTTATTTCATAAGAATTAACAATAATAAGTAATTTATTACAATTTGCCCCAAGTTGGGCGCCAAAATTTATTTTTATAATTACTTTAAACTTACGAAATTATTATTTTTTTCTACATTTCATCACTTCGCTGAATATTCTCATTCATAACAAAAGTTTAGCGTACGTCCATCAGTCAAACGAAATGCAATAAAGTCTGCATTATAAATTTGTGAACAGTGCGAGAACAAATGGTACAAGTCTTTCGTGGAAAACCTTATCTCTCTCTTTCACTCTCTTTCCTATCGTCACTTTTACACTTCGCCCACGTATTCTTGTAAATTTGATTTTCCCGCTCACGTCAACTCCGCCTTTTCCTGTGAAACTCCCACACACGCATTGATGTCATAGGATGTCGTAAGGTCAAAAAGTTTTCCATACTTTTATTCCTTTCCCATTTTCAACTTGAAGTTATTTTCGTCAACATTTTTTTTGTTGTTGCAATCTTTAGAAAGCGAATCAATGTTTGCTTTGAAGCTTAGTCTTTAATAATTATCAATACTTATAAGTTACATAAGTATTCAATAGTTTTGTAGTTAGTTTTATATTTATGTCATTTTATTCAATAATTTGTAGGTTTTTTTTTCACGGTTTTAATATAGAATTTCCTATTTCATAATAATCAAAGTTAAAAAATCTATGAAAATTGTATTTTTTTCAATTAAATTACGTTGTGAATGATTAATTCTTTGATTTATGAATCACTTTGGAAGATTTCTTTTCTTTCAGCTTCAATCAAAAGGACATTTCATTACTCTGATGAGTTAAAAAATCTATGAAAATTGTATTTTTTCACATAAATTATGTTGTGAATCACCCCACGTTGGGCGCCAAAATTAATAATACTCCTTCTCTGATTCATGTTTGAATCATTATCGAAGATGTTTTTTCTTTCAGCATCAATCAAAAAGACATTTCAT